ATTTTAAGCTTCTTGGATGGTACCAAGACTCTGCTGGGCCATCTCATGCTGTCACAGCTAACCTCCAATACCCCCAGAGGTTTCATCATCCACCCATAAGAACAACAGGCCAATCTGGTTCAGCACTTGCTCATTTCTAGCTTTGTTCTAGGGTAAGAAAATGACCGTCAAGGGTCTCATTCATGAGCTGTCTTTGCATTACTGGTATCACGGAAAGCCTGTGAGTAGACAAAATAGGTATTTTTGCACAGCCCCTTTGTACCATTTTTTGGTACTATTTTTGTACTATTTTTGAAATCCTTTCCTCTCTCTTTGCTGGCCCTTCTTTCCAACAATCCTAGGTTGTTCCGAAGCTTCTTTGCTACACCTTCCAATGTCCAAATGTCAACAGGTGTTCCGGTGGCTCAAGCAGTCTGTGGGGTCAGCGCAGCACACCCGAGGACTTGCCCTTGCCTGGCCAGATGACCATGTGGTAACAAACAGCACTTCATAAGCAAGCCTGTTGAGTGGCTAAACAGAGCTGTGAATAGAGACAGGGAGAAAGCCAAGGCAGAGAGGAGATAAGGTTGAGATACTAAGGAATCTCTCTCAATGGTACAAGCGGTTGGTTCCTCTGCAAAACTGTGACTCGATGTGTAATACACACATCACTGAAACCTACAACTCTGCAGCTGGAAAACAAACTTGCACCTCTACATGAGTTCACTTCATAGACATTACTTTGGGGGGCCTTTATTCTGATTCTAGAAACACCTTGACATTGCCTCCAACACTCATGACAAATGCTTTTGACTATATTTAGTGGTGGCAAATACTAGCTTTTTGAGAATGGGTTTTCAGAAATAGCCAGGTCATTTAGGGCTAAGAACAGTAAGATGGGGGAAATCAATGCTATTTTAGGTATAAAAAACAAGGTGCTAGTTATAGTAAAACAAGTTGGAGTTTCCTGTGCAGACAAAAACAATTTGCAAAGGTAATTTAAAAAGTGCTCTGCATAATGGCAATGTTGGTGTGGAATAAAGGTGTACATTCCCAAAGTGACAGTTTGAAGAGGTCATTCATATGGATATATACATTCCTGAGTCTTATCCCTCTACCTTTCGGAATCAATGGGAAAATATTATAGACAACAGACAAGCCTAGTATAGACTTCAGTTCTGAAACCTTATGAGGCAGAAACTCATAAAAATCTACTCTTAGCTTCAGTTTACTGGTCACCATGTCTGCAAAGTAGGGGCTAAGAGGCAGTGACACTCCTCACGTAAACTAAACTGATATCCTAAAGTTCTAAGACTTTCCAGTATGTTAAGAACTTTTTTTTAATGTTTACTTATTTATTTTGAGAGGGGAGGAGGAGCACTACTCAGGGAGGGGCAGAGAGAGGGGGAGAGAGAATCCGGAGCAGGCCATGTGCTGTCAGTGCAGAGCCCGATGCAGGGCTGAATCTCCCAAACTATAGTGACTTGAACCAAAATCGAGTCGGATACTTAACCAACTGAGCCACCCAGGCACCCCTATCAATAACTTCTTAGTGTCTAACTAGAGAATTAAGAATATATTGCACTTAGGGATCTGGAACCACTACTCTTTAGGAGTCTTAAATCTAAAAGAGGCATACTTACCTGGACATGTGTCTATAATATTAATAATAGCTAATTTTTTTTTAAGATTTTATTTTTAAGTAATCTCTACACTTAATGTAGGGCTCAAACTCACAGCCCCAAGATCAAGAGTCATATGTTCTACCGACTAAGCCAGCCAGGTGCCCCAATAATAGCGAATACTTACATAGCTCTTACTCCCTGCTATGTACTTACTTAGCACAATATATATTTATATTGGCCTATTTAGTACAGTCCTGTGAGGTATTACTATTTTTATTCCTACCTGACATATGAGAGACCTGAGCCAGAAAGAGGTTGCTTAAGACCACATAGTAATTTACAGAGCTGGGATTGGAACCCAGGCAGCCTGCCTCCAGCTATGCTCTTACTCACTATGCTAAGTCACCCTATACTGCTTCTATGAAACAAGAGAAAACTAGACAAATAAATCTATACCAATTGGGAAAAGGACGATGAAAAATACTTACAGAATTTGAGAGGTAAAAAGGGGGGAAGTGAGGCAGATGAACTAAATGGGAGATCAAGGCCACTTAGAGAGCCACAAGAGTTTCATGGGCCACTTGGAGCTGGACAAAAATGCTCTCCTCTAATTTAAAGAATAGAGGCAGCTGAAAAAAATCCAGGAATTATGAAGAACCAGTTCTTGGCAGTTTTTGTATATAAAGTTTTTCCTTTATTACGTAAAAATAAAATAATGCAAGATTAATAAAAACAAAACCCCACAATACCATTAACATGACAGTTTTTATATCACTGTGTGAACTTTACTGGCTAGGAAGCAGATATGCTTAATAAATCAAAGTACAGTTTCACACTAGGCAGGCTGAGTGCAATGACCTACCTAATATCATCCCCAGGGAAGCATTTAGAGGCCACTATAGATGACTCAGTTCCCATAAAGATGGGATATGTGTGGATGGAGGCAAAAGAAGCCTTCAGGACCTCTTGTGTATAATCACAAAATGCCAATGCCACTCCAAGCGTAACCTCATCTCACTGAAACAGACACGGAGTCTTATGGAGCAGAAATGACTTGGATGAAGATGCTCTGATCAGCTCCAAGTCCAGTACTCTTCCACTCCTACAGGTCTCCTTGTAACCATCCCGGGAAAACGAGACAACACTGGTATCAAACACCTTCAGAGCACACCTACACTAGAGGGAAAAGAATTCCTTGATCACAACTTCTTGCTGCTGTTCAGTCTCGCTTTTCCTCCCTAGGACCCAAGAGATGTCTAGAAAACGGTGGGAAACATGATCCGAATTACTGTTCCTAAAATTTGCAAAGTATCAAATGAACAGGGCAACAGATTGTCATGCCTTATATTCTAGGCTGGGGCGAAATGCAGGGAATTCAGTTCCCTGCTGGGCTGGGAGCCGGCCCCACCGGCTATCCTAGGAAACTTGGGCCCACCAGCAAGGCGCGGGGAAGGCTGAACCGCCAGGCTGCCAGGCCAAGGCGGGTCACCTGCCGAGGCGCCAGGGATTCGCGGAAGCCCGGCCGGCCAGGAGCAGCGAACCCCGGGGACCCTAGCGCGTGGGGATGCAGGGGCGGGCCCAGGAGCTTCTTCCCAACCCCGCGGGTCTCCAGCCGCTTCAAAGCCGCCCCGCCCAGCCGGTCGCAGCTCCCTTGCGCCACGAAGCCCCACCTTCCACCCAGCTACCGGGCGCGGTCACGTGAGGCGTGCCGGGGGAACCAATGAGCCGCTAGCTCGGAATGGAAGGGATTGTCTGACCCCCATGACGTCACAAAGCTGGCTGGGAGCGCGCGGCTCTTCCGCCCCCCCTCCTCGACTCAGGCCTGGCCCTCACTTCTCCTCCCCGCCCACTCTCCCGGGCGCAGCCAATCGGGAGGCGGGAAGTGCTTCGGCCCGGACGTTCGGGCGGGGCAGGGTGGCGGCCCGGCGGGGCAGGGAGTGGGCCAGCTGGGGGCCAGGGGCTGCACTCCAGGGAGTTACGCTGGGCGGCTTGGAGGGAGCGCTTGGCGGTGCCACTACTGCTGCGGCCGCTTCCTCGTCGGGAAGAAGCGACTCCTCCCCTGTGTGCCCGGTTCGTATTCCCTTCCCTGCCCCATGCCCGAGCCGCCCAGTCCGGAATCCTCCTCTACGCGCCCAAAGTTGTGAGGAGGTTGCCCGGCACGCGTGGGGAGCGACGGCCGCGGGCTTGCAGAGGGTTGGCGAGCGGTGGCCCGGGCGGAGGAGGGACGAGCCCCGGAGCGCTAGGTGCGCGCGGGGGCGTCGGGGCTACGGGCGGGCGTGGCGGCGCCGAGGGGCCGCCGCGGGCTCTGGGTGGG